ATAATTTCGCATAGTATTTTTTGGTGTACAGTAGCCGGCTGGTAGCTTACCGGAACGATGCCCATCCGTTACCGGTAGCTCAGCCGGCTTGCACCAGTTGCATTTTTTCTCCTTTTTCTGTGTATTGCGGCACAGTAGCTGAGGTGTTCCCCACCTCTAGCTAACGTGTATGATGATGATGAAGACTTGGTCGGTTGAAACCCATAAGAACGGTGCTCACAGTGTTAGTTTGTAACAGCTATTTTACAACTTAGCCTCTTCAGCCTTCATCAGAAACGACGCAAACATTAGGAATCCTAGCCTCCGTAATATATATTGCTAGCTACATATTTAGAATCTGCTGCACAGATAATTGACAGTTACATAACTCACACCATCTCACACGACTAGCGGCATCCAGTTACATATTCTCCTGTCAATGCGACTGGTGACAGTCCAAGATGCTGGGCAAGTACAAGCCTCGCCCAAGTCTTCCAAAGTTTTTCATACCTTTTGCCGCATCATCGAACGGCCATCCTGCAGTTTGACTCAATCAGGTGCAGCAACTGCAAGTAGTGGGGACCGATGCAGGAGGTCAACTAACATAGGAGAGATACGACTTGGCCAATGGAAGCATCATCGTCATCATTAGAACACGTTAGCTCAGAGTGAGAAATACACTTAAAGTACAGCAGCACAAAAAGACAATAGACACGAAAAAACGAGATACTAAGCACTACAGTTTACAAGAGAGAAACCAAAAAAGTAGTAGAATGGGGGTTTTGGTTTTGCTTTCTTTCATCACTGCACTCTAAGACGCGGTTCGTGCTTGTGTGGGATCACCAAGTGGAGACAGTTTGCGCTAGGAGTAAAGCCCAGCACAGTGGTTAACGGCTATCACCATGACCACTAAGCCACCGAGGTTCGTGAGCAGCGCTTGACGCAGCGGCTAGAGGTTGATTGTTGGGTTTTGGAGTGCACACTGCGTGTCCTGGATTGAGACACGCTATCCCACTTGTAGCGTCGGTTGACTTCGAAGTCAGTCTCTGTCATTCCGATCACTGGAACCGTGTCCGAAGTAGAAAAGAAAGAAAGGCAACAGCAGTACGCCGGTACGCAGTACCGAAGCTTGGTAGCAGTGTAACCACCACATCGCAAGTGGGCTACGGATACTGCGATGGTCGCCTGATCGCTTCCCAGGCTCGAACCTGCGCCCTCGGATTACAAGGCGCGCTTCCGATCTTTAAGGCTACGGGCCAGGTCCGAAGTACTGTTTCGGTGTTGCGCTCTCGCATTAACGCATTACACGACGCGTTTCGTCCCTGCCTGGATTTATCAGGTAGATATAGCCTAACCTGGAAGTAGAACTCGGCGCATGGTAGTTAGCGGTTATCGCTATGATCACTACACCATTGGGGCTTGCGAGCAGCTTTGACAC